AATCGATTATCAATTTATGATAATCGACTAACAAGAGGTTCAGTTTCTTGGGAAGGAAATTTGGGAGTTCAGGGAAGGGAAATAGTCGATTGTCACTTTAGCAACAATCGATTGTGGGATTGTGTAGTTTAAGCCAAGAAGGTTCAGAAGGGTGGGATAGTCGATTATCAATAGTTGATAATCGATTATTTGGGGTTTCAGATTCTGCCAAGGAAGTTCAGGGGTGTTGGATAGTCGATTGTCAGTGAAAGATAATCGATTATGAGGGTTACCCGAGGTTTCAATATGGAAGGAAAGTGGCCGGGCTATGTAGGGAAGTTATGGGAAGGAATGATAGGGTGTTTTATATGTTAAGGGAAGAAAAGAGGGGGATTTCATGGCTATGTGGCGGGTTTTAGGATTGATAAGTTCGGTCCAAAAGGAATCATAACACTTAGCCATTATTCCGTTAATTTTTTTAACGACTTTAGAGTTGTTGGTAGTCGCCCGGGGTATATCAGGGGGTCTCCAACTTCCACCTCATGAGGAAGTCCTTCAATGGCTCGTTCGGCCTCTACCTGACCGAGAGGAGGTTGGAAAAATGCAGCTTCTTCTTTCTTTTGGTCGTGTTCTAGGCCAAATCTTCCCTGGAGTCAATCCTACCTTCCGGTAGTTCATTGAACCATTCCGACGTGAAACCGTCCGAGGTTGCCAAAAAGATTTGCAAAGAACCTCCTTAGAAAACGTTACGACATTCATGAGGGTCTGGTATCGGTTGAAGTGATCTTAGGGATCTGTCGTCCCGTCATACCTAAGTATGGTCAGCATTTGGATATTATCTAGCAAAGGAGCCCTCATCACCCTTTTAAAGAAAGGGGAGCAGAGTTTGAAAGTGGGCTCTGGAGCGTAACCACGCTCGTTCCTTCTCTCGAGTCCGTCTATCCTCCGTAAGAGGAATTCGATCCGCTCGTCCCTCAGGGCGTTCGCCCCCCGTCTGCCCTTTCAGGTGCCCCCTGCGGCGGCTTGAAGAAGAGATATTGGATAGGCTGCTTAGCCTGAGGGACAAACCTTTTGGACTGAGCGTCCTGGTGACATACGCACTGTTCCTCACATGGTATCCTCACCTTGCCTACCCAGTCACAAGCAATAGTGTTCCTCCAACCATGCAGCCGATCTTTAGTGGCACACGCATCCGGCTGAATACGGACACGTGTGATTCACTCTTATCATATAACTTGCTTGCTTTCTTGCCGTTGCCCTTCTGCAGGGAGCGACCTACTTCTTTGTCCATGTGCCCGTTCGCTGATGGACCCATGCGGGAATCCGCCATCAGTCCCTTCTGGTCATGGTAGTTAAACTCGCGAGTTGACTCGTACGAGTCTACGAGTTTGAGGATCGACGGTACCTTACCGATCCGAGACAGCTGCAGAATCGCGAAATCCATGGAATCGTTCGGATCGACGATTCGGCTCGTGAAAACGCACGATCCGGTTCAATCGCCGAGTCTGAGAAGTCCAAATAGCGTCTCTTCAAAATCTCCTTCCAATCGCTTCTAGAACTGCAATTGGAAAGTCGCGTCTGTTGCGACTCCCAATTTCGATCGGAAACAGGTATCTCCCCTTTATTTATTCCTAATTTCAATAGGAAAGCAGCGTAAATAGATTCCCAATTTCAATAGTAAAGCATCATATCAGACGTATCTTCTTCTATTTATTTGGGAATCGAGACTTCTCTGCATATCAGCCTTCGTTCCTGTTTTTTTTTCTCCAGCGACATTTTTTTCTCCTGCGAATCCTTTGTGTCTGTCGCGGGCTTCTTCTTTCTGCCTCGACTCTCTTACAATGTCAATCCCTACTTCAGCCACTCCATTTAGTAGACCAATTGCAAAAAATGCTCCTAGGCAGAAAACAGATGTTGCTTGGGAACATTGCAAAGTAATTGATTCTAGCAATAGAAAGCTACAATGTAATTACTGTAGCAAAGTCATAACCGGGGGGGTGTTCCGCATGAAGCATCACTTAGCAGGGACACAAAAGGATGTTGGTGCTTGCAAAAGTGTTTCTGATAAGTTGAGGCAAGAAATGTGGGACATTGTAGTTACCTCTAAAGAGAAAAGGCGAAAAGAGGATGAAGACGATGATGATGATTGTGAAAATGTTGGTTTCAAAAGAAAAATCAATGACGAGGTTGGTGATGGATCGAATACTTTTTCCAAAAAAAGGGCGACCAATCAAAGCACCA